TTTAGCGAGATCTTTCAGCAGCCTCTGGTCCCTGAGGGGAGAATTTCTGAGCAGGACAAACTCAAATGGTTTGGAAAGAATCCCTTATCTTGAGCTGGAAGAAGTTCAAGCTGCCTGTAAACAATCATTTACTCTCTGCTCTCCTCTCGACATGCTCTTCACTGTGTACAAATAAACATGACCAAAGTGCAAAAAAGTGTTGTTTTCCTAAATTGAAGACAGATCTGTTTTGCAGAATGTCACACAGATTTACTTTTTTCGGTTCCTACACTCGTGCTATGACATGTTTGAGAATTTAATTTTGCTCCAGGATTCTGGCGTGGCATCCTGCATGAATTTGAAATGAATCGTGACAGTTCCCCCCCCCACCAAATGCTTGCTCTCCTCCCCTCTTTTCAGTGAGCGGCATCAGATATGGCTGACATTCTTTGCCTCTCTGCGTCCCCATCTGCAGAGGGGGAACACAAACAAACAGTCTGGGAGGAGTCGTACCGAGGCCACAAATATTCCTCCATTATCCCACATTTGTGTTTCCAGCACTGGAAGCCCTCACTTTCGGTATTTTTACTCTACAGCTCAGCTTGTTTTCTCTCCAGAAGTCCTCGCTGCATGGGTTGCTGAGGCTTCTTTGCAAACTTCTTCTCTTTCATTTGGACTTTAAACATTTATATAAATCTCTACTTAGACCGATGCAGCTGCACAAGAACAAAGTATGATCTTCCATCATTTCAGACCTTCTCTTTCAGAAACATCAAAGATCACACAGGAGCAAATTTTGCACACTTTCCCAAAGTTACCCACAGCAAAAATCGAAATGATTTCTATAAAAACCAAGTCAGACTACAATGTCTGTGCCCCATTCTGGCCTGTGAGAGATTATTACAGGTCTTTATAACCGCCGGAGAGATGACAGATCCTCTCATTTAACAGAAGCTGCCTGAACTGAGCAAAAACTTGGCGCAGAAGGAAAGCGACCCATCTTCAATGGAGCACCTGCAGCTGAAATATGTGACCTTCAGACCCCAGGAATTTGGCTCCTTGAATTATGAAGTATGCCTTATGTTGAGATTTTTAAGCAGCTAATAAAGCACTGTGCGTTCCAGCAACAAAAAAAGGAAGTTTTAATGCAATTGCAGCTGACCCTCGGACATATTTGTATGATTTACACCCGTAATGACAGATTTGAAACACTGGACTGTGCAAGTCAAAGTGTCACAGCCGTATGTATTGCAACTATCCCTCGTTTAAAATACTGTTGCTGATTGTATGCAGTGGACTTGGTTATTGTCCGCCTGTGCTTATACCAGTTTGAGCCTTACAGCTACCAGTATATGTCAGTGGAACATTACAGTTTATAAACCCTGTGGCAGTAGGCAGTAGGCCGTCGCCTAAGCTCAAGTTACAGCTCGGGTTCCACCCCCTCCCCTCCAGCTGTACCCCCTCTCCCTTTTTGCTATGCTAAATGATTATGCCCCTGCATGGAGCTGTCTAATCCCAGGGGAGCCGCCTGAAGGAGCCAAGCAGTTCTCTCTATATATATCTGGTTGATGTCCGCAGAAATCTTCAGATGGTATTTGACAAGGCGCATGCCAATGCTGTGCTCCTCAGAGTTTCACTCATTGGCTATATGTGTTTAACATGGAGGAGGGCTTACCTTCTAATATTCTCTTGCTGTTCTGTGTCACTCACAATCAATAGAAATGAATCACAAATATTCCATAACAGTTTGATGACTTCATTTTGGTCAGGAGTGAGTGTTTTTAAAAAAACAAATTCCTTTTGTTTGTGTCTTTACAACAGGCATTTTGAGAGACGTCCTAACCGTAAAAGAACCTTAAATGCCCTTCTCAGGGGTCTTCTGATGACAACATGACTTCAGACACAAGTAGAGATCAGTTCCTTCATGACTGGGAAGGGAACAGCCCAACATGCCTTGTGCATAGTGGGTTGTCACTGTAGGCCTAACAGATTAACGAATACAGTCCTGAAGCATTAGCGTTAAAGCCCTTGTTAAGGCGGCCGCGTCACTTGAGTTGGAAAGAGGACAAACTGCACTACAACCTCATGACTACAAAGTTACACAGAAGAAAGTTTGAGAGAGAGAGAGAGAGTGGTTAAACATCCAGATTGTCCACATGACATCCGGTTATTTCCCCATTTTTACAACCTCAATATTTACTGATCTTTTCTCCATAAATACATTTGGGGCCTCAGTGTTGTCTCATGTTTTAATTTGGTTCTGTATATTTTATTTTTTTACAACCTGGTTTATAACCATAGCTGCCATATAAAACCCAAGCACAGATAATGACAGTGTTGTGAATATGATTTCTGCTCACTGCTGCATCTGTCTCCCTCAGCTGTCACCCCATGAAGATAACTGAATCACTAAACAACAATCTCAGATATGGTCTGAAAATGGCCGACAGTTCTCTCATGGCCAAGTGTGTTTTTTATTTACAGTCCAGAAAACTAAATGAATCCCCTTTAAGTTGCTTTACATCCCTTCAGCTGTTTATGGATGAACACTGAAATAGCTCTCGGCCATTTCTGAACACAAATGATTTGCTTTGTTGGCAATGTTATTGGACAGAAGAAAAAACTGCAAACATCACTTATTTCTTTTGAACTAGAGAGTTCTCTTTTTGCAAAATGACAAGTTTAATATTTCGGTTCCAATTCAAATGATACAAAATGTAACTGTTTGAAATAGGCTGACATGTTTGATTCTAGTTGCTTTCATCAGCTGTTTTGGTTGGAGGCTAAGAGGCCTTGTGAAGCAGATTTTTCTTCCCCAATGAACACAAATTATATGTTTATAGCAGCCTTAAAAAAGCTATTTCTGGAGCTGTGGTGTCTTCAGAGCCAATTTATGTCCTCAGAACTACCTAAAATATTGGACGTTTGTTTCTGTCTTTCCAAAAACGCGTATAATGAAGTGAATATTAGAAGATGGAGTTGCTTTATGTCTCTTAGTGCAGTCTTATTGAGTAAGTGCCTAATTGGGTTGTTATAAGAGTGCAGTGACTTTCAAGAACGTCTGGCCACATAGAGAGATTTGTGACTACTTTAATCAAAGCGAGCGTACTGGGCCCTGAGCTATTTTTACTGTGCCAATATGTTGAAGGAAAACATCATAATGCAGCTTCCTGTATTTTCATTCCCAGCATGCTAGAGCAAATCCACGATGCCATCATAAACCTCCCCTGAGTCCATTATGCTGTTTGAGATAATTAAGATCAAATTGCAAATGAAGATTAAAACCAGCGCTCTGCTGTTAGTAATTCTGGAATAAAAAACTATATAAAGAAACATTAACAGCTACATCATTGTATCTTGTGTGTAAGATTTACACATTATATTGTACATTAATTTCCACACTTTAATTAAAGCAGAGGACTTGGGTTCAAAAAACAGTCCATTACTTGATATATTCACACCCTCAAACTTTTTATATACTGTATGCCAGTTATATGTGCAAATGAGAAAAGAAAGTTAAATTACTTTTACAAATATGTGATCCTTAAAGTACAGTATTGCTTAGGACAGGTTCAAATCCAGAACAACAGGAAATCTGGCAGAGATAAGATCCAGTCTTTAAGCAGTATTTTACGTGCCTATCACAATTGTATAAATGCCAATCTTTATGAACATGGGCTGTCCTGAGATTAACAAAACATATTTCTATTACTATGCCTGTCAATCAAATTCTCATACAAGGCTGGTGCCTGGATTGCAGGAAATATATGACATGATTTATAGAAACAAAATATGATAATAAAGATTGTGAACATCATATGGACATGAAATTGTACTACTGATTAAAAAAAAATGCATTAACAAATCTACCAGATGTAGCACCAACAATCTGTAAAACAGACACAAGCCAAGGCAAGACAAGACTTATTTTTGGGGATGTATCTAATAGCATTGGACCTTGGGCTCCTGGCACATGGCCTCAGATGCATATAACAGACCAAGACAGGTGCATGAAATGGAAGGAGGTCCTAAAAATATCCCTGAGACTCTTTGGGAAGACACTTGGTGTGTCCTTAGTCACTGCAGTTTGTGCACTTGAGAGCTGAGCATTAGCACAGTGCATTTAAAATACAGAATATAAATGTATAGAATAAAATAAAATAAAAACTTTTTCAGATTTAAAGCTACAAATACATTTTGCGCATATAAAATGAGACAGTCCTTCAAAGTTGTTTGTAAAGCAGTTACCATTTCTCAAATGCCAATGTCAATCAGCGGCTTAGCTGCTGTAATTGAGGTATAAAACCATCATGGCCTGTTCTGGACTCTGTGCTGCCTCTGTCACATCACACATCAACAGTTTACAAGGAGGATATCTGATACATTATCAGGTAAACACTTCCCTATCTGAGAGCCAACAGACTGTGAACAATGCCTCTAGGGCTTACTAGGCTTACCGAAAGCATCTCTTCATAGATGGCACACTTGGTTTGAGATTCTTCAACTTCTCCCAGTGGTGTTCTCACTCACCTACCCACCAGAACACACTCAAAAACACACACCCATACACACACACACAACAACAACAGGGACTGCAAGTTGAAAAAGGCTGCTTGAAACCGCAGCTGTCTGTGGTCCCACTACAAGTCTGTCACAAGAGAAATAAGACATAAGAGAACACTGTCACAGCACAAACTCTAAAACATATATTTAAAGAAAGCACGAGCCAGATTTCATTGGCAGAGGACATTGGAGACTTCTCTATGGAGAGAGCTTTAAAACCAAATGTTCATCTGCATATTCCCTGTGCATTAAATGGCTTCTGTTACATTTGCATTAAGGAGCATTCCCATGGGAGCTGCCTGCTTGTCCATCACAGCCCATATACAGGCGTATCAAAAGTCAAATGTTTGGGAGGAACGAATCACCGAGTAGATCCGTAAAAAACGCCCGGGCAGCCGCGCACGCCTCCTCCCCCCCTCCCTAAAAAAAGTATTGGATGTCCAAAGGAATCCAGTCTCCCCCCTCTTGAAGTACATATTTGACAGGGCACAGGAAGGCAGAGCCTGCACTCCAGCTTAGTGTTCAGTTAGGCACAGACGCCCTAAGCCCCTCTCCTCTCCTTCGTTTTCATTTGGACGTTTTGTCGGTGCAGCCGCTCAACAAACAGCAGCCATGGACGCCATCAAGAAGAAGATGCAGATGCTCAAGCTCGACAAGGAGAATGCCTTGGACAGAGCTGAGCAGGCCGAGTCAGACAAGAAATCAGCAGAGGACAGAAGCAAACAGGTCGGCTGATTTTTCTGTGTTGCTTAAATGGAAAAGCCCAAAAGATAGAAAAGGCAGGAGTACCAGAAGCAGATTATAACTGCTATTTTAATGGATCATCTCCTAAATGCGGATTAATTACTTTCATGGATAATACCAATTAAGGATTAATTGTTTTTTGTTTTTGTTTTTTTTGTTTGTTTGTTTTGGGGATTTTTGTGGGGGGTTGGGGGGAGGGGGGTATAAATCCTTATTTAATCTGTTTTGGCATTTGGTGATCAATATAGCTAGAAAATGTAATTGATAACTTCACATTTTGAAAGCAATTAGAGGGAATATGTTTGAATATTTTTCTATGATGTTTAACTTTATAATTTCTTTTACATGCATGTGTAGTTAGAGGACGATATAAGAGAGTTGGAAAAGAAATTGCGTGCATCTGAAGACGAAAGGGATAAAGTGTTTGAGGAGTTCCAAACTGCTGAAGAAAAGCTGCTGACTGCTGAGGAGTCAGCCACCAAGGTATCTCATCCTGACGTGCATGAGCTTCCCTAACTTTTTTCTCTCTTTTTTTTTCTCTCTTCCCCCTGTCCTGTCCTGTCCTCTTCTGTCCTTTCCTGTGCGTCTGTGTCTCTCTGTTCGCGCACTTGCGCCTTTGCGCGTTCACGCAACTCCATCTCCTCACCACGCTGATCACCTCTGAAACTTCTGCGCACTGAAACACACCTCAGCTTGAGGACGATTTGGTAGCTCTGCAGAAGAAGCTGAAGGGAACAGAGGATGAGTTGGACAAGTATTCCGAGGCTCTTAAAGACGCCCAGGAGAAACTTGAGTTGGCTGAGAAGAAAGCCGCAGATGTAAGTATGGAAGGGATTCACGAAGGCACCGCTCCTGCTGCACCACTGCTGCCTCACATGTTTCTTTTTCTCCTTTAAGTTGTAAAAGATCACATGCACTACCACAAGTCTGCCCAAAGAATGTCTGACTGGTTGATGAATATAAAAATGAGGAATAGAAACTTTAAGTCACCCATATGCAAACGCACAACATTTATGCCCATAGTGTGTAATAATTATTTTTTTACGCCTTGACTTTTCTCAGTCTTATATGGTTCAATCTGAGCAAGTCTTTTCCGGAGTGAAAAGTGAAGTAGACTAAATGTGCAGTGTCCCAAGGAGCGAGGAGTGCGAGCGCCTGGATAAATATAGCCCACTGCTTTATATGGTCAAGATAGAGCTCACATCTGCGGGCTACGCTCTCTGCTTACCACAGGGAAAAAACACTGTTCCCCACCAAACTGTCCCAGAGTAGGACTGCTCATTAAAACTAATGAACACATTTAGCTTATTATTGGAATTTAAAGATCAAAACCTGCTAAAGTGTAAAAAAAAAAAAAAAAAACCCTCTAGTTTTGAATAAAACTTTTTCATGGCAAACAATCCGGTTCATGACCGAGTCAGGGTCAAGTTGAAGTAGGGACACTTTGCTTTCACGAGTCAATCAGACGAATCCAATTTAAGTGCAGCCTTTAATTTAACCGAAGGAAAACCAGTTGTAATAATCCTTTAATTGGATTTCTCCACAGGGTTAGGCCATATTGAGTCTCTTTATAGACTGCTGGGTTTTAGCTTATCACACTTGATGCTGTATGGTATGCCTTCCAGGACGTTAAAACACGAGTGTAGGCTATTTTAATTTTCATGAGCGATGTATTTGCATAAATATAAACAGATAAAAAAAAAATCCGAGTTCAAACGCACCATGCAGTTATTGTTTCCAGTGAGGACTTAAATAGTTTAACTGCCACATGTAGTGATAACAATTAACCAGCAGATGGCGCTGTAGCTCCGCCAGCTTTCTACAAGCCCATGAATCGCCTACACTAAACTATTTTTGCGTTCTTCTCATTTTAAATACACATTTTTTTTTCTGATCCAGTTTCACATTAAATCGTTAATGTGGCAAAGCAGTAGATTTTTAAATTGTAGTTTTTTTTTTTTTTCAAACCCCCACAGAATCCTTAATTCTAAACCCTCTTTTGTAATCAGTGGTAGCCTACTTCCTGGGGGGAAGCGTCATGACACTGCAGAGCGCGTCTCTCAGCCTTCAGCACAATCAAGAAAGCACGTCATCTCGCTGCTTGACAATATCTCGGAAATTGTGCAGCAGCAGCAGCAATTTGTAGCTTCTTTTTTTTTTTTTTCTTTGAACTTAGTTTTTTTTGGGGGGGGGGCAGTACCGAAAATGGCAGGAGTTACATCAGTAGAAGCAGTAAAACGTAAAATAAAATCCTTACAAGAGCAAGCAGACGGTGCTGAAGAGAGAGCCGAGAGATTACAGAAGGAGTTGCTGGCGAACAGGAAAGCAAGGGAACAAGTAAGCATGTTTAGGCTACAAGCGTGTACACTCACAAAGAGGCTGCTTAGTGAACGTAAAATGAGGTTATATATCCTCCTCTTCTCGATGTGTGTGTGTCCTGTGGAGAGGAGAAATAATAGTCTACGCAGTGAAATAGCGGGATTTCTCTTGATACACTCGGTGCACTGCAGGTTGAGCTGTACACGGCTCCATATCGTGCAACACATATTCTTACTGAGGTTTCTTTTTAGCTTCAGAGTTTCTGATAATTGTCAGCGTTAGGCCGATGATGCTGCAGACCAGCCGTGGCTCATTGTTTTTGCCTACTTTGTTGCACTTGCATCTCATTTGATGCTCTCTTGACTGTTGCGGAAATGTTCGACCTCCTTTCCAGGAAGTTCAGTTTTTTTTTTTTTTTTGTTTGTTTTTTTCTCTCTCGGCAGGTGTACAGGGTAAACTATTCGATGCTAATGTTTTCAAAAACCAGGAAGTTAAAAGTAAAAAATGTGGCAACATGTGAAGTGCAGTCGTCTCTCTTTTTGCGCTTTGACTTGTCCATATAAGGACAACAGGTTTTTCACAGCGTGAACTCGCGGTAGTTGTCGAGACGGGAAGTCAATCTTGTGTGCAGGGGCTTAAAGCACTGAAGAGTCAATCTCAGGCTCAGACTGTAATTAAAACTAAATAAGAGATTTAACCGGAGTGAAAAGCATTGCTTCAGTGAATAGGTTGTAAGTGATTCCCTTGTCATGCTTCACTGCCTCAGATGCACTTTGATCCAACACTGCACTTTCCTTCACATGACCTGCAGGAGAGTCAAGTCAGGCCTCTTGTCTTAGTTGTTGCCAGGCCGATGCAAATCTCATCCAGAAGCCGAAGTAGCCACAGGTTTGAATAATATTGGAAACTGCTCTTCACTCAGAATAATGCATTGCAAGTTTTCCTCCAAATTTACCGGATTGCGAAACCAATGCAATACCAATTTGTTGCAAATGTGTGCCCAGTAAGATTACATGTACAGTACATCTACCCTGAGTTACCCAGGAAGTCTCCTCTGTGGTTGAGCATGCTTCTTCTAAGCATTCATTTGCAGTAAATAGTCTCAGGGCCTTTGACTCAGGCATTCTTAGTGTTCTCTCTGGAGCCTGGTAATGAGGCGGGGTATTCAACCTGCTGTCAGCCTGGGACATTGTTATAATTATAATCGTCGCTGAGGAGCACGGGGAGCCTCCTGGAAAACACTTTTGATTACACACACATCCCTCTGGCATAAAACAGTGTTCAGGGCATCACTAAGAAACACAAAAAATCAAATTAACCACCTTCTCCACGTTCTTTGGGCTGACTTGAATATCTGCTCGTTTGATTTACATGTGTTGTGTTAAAATTGGGGATCTCCTATCCACGTTTCCCTGATGTGCTCCCCTCCCCTCCCCTCCTCTCCTCTCCACAGGCTGAGGCAGATGTCGCTTCCCTTAACAGACGTATCCAGCTGGTTGAGGAGGAGTTGGATCGTGCTCAGGAGCGTCTGGCAACTGCCCTGACCAAGCTGGAGGAGGCTGAGAAGGCAGCTGATGAGAGCGAGAGGTGGGTTCTTATGAGCAGCACAAGACTCAGACTGACTGATCTCTGCCGTCATGCTCTGTTGCTGCACAGAACAGGTGGATGGGCTGTTTCTCTGTCCCTTTGTGTCGGGTACAAGCAGAGCCTCTGTGCTAAAGAACTACATGTCAGATAGTGCAGATGCGTCCTTGCATCCCAAATTCTGTATATTCAGAAAATATCAGTTATTCATTTACCTTGGAGTTATATATTAAATATGTATCCTACATGACATTGAACCAGATGCGTGTCCTCAGGGAGACTGTAGCCCCCCCCCCCCAGATCCTGCTTCTTCACATCCTTTGACTGTTTGTTTCATCTCACAGAGGCATGAAGGTCATTGAGAACAGGGCCATGAAGGACGAGGAGAAGATGGAGCTGCAGGAGATCCAGCTCAAGGAGGCCAAGCACATCGCTGAGGAGGCTGATCGCAAATATGAGGAGGCGAGTTTTTCAGCCCTTGGCAGCCTCCCTTATAACTTCTATGTCACAACAATCATACAGTGGCTGGTGTAGAGAAATCCGGTATTCTTCCTCAGACCTTTTACAGTTGTTGAAAAGAGGTAGATACCCCCAATGAAATTCTCTGTTAGAAATATGGCGAGTTTCTGTGTTTAAAAGGACAGATTAAGGAATCATTTAACCTTTTAAAACATTTGAGTTATCAATCCATCGATCAGCATTCAAATTGTTCCTACTTTTTCTTTTTTCAAGTAAAATATATCAGATTATAGTACATCCACATTTATAGGCTGTTTCAAAGATATACAAAATGGTTTTTTTTAACAAACTATTACAAAGATGCTAGCTGCTTAAAAGTGTAAGCATTTACTATTTTACTTTTAATCTTTAAGTTACGAAATACTTTGTGTTACATCACAACAGTTTTCAGTTCATCTACACATTTGGATTCCCTATGTAAGAATTAGAATTGATAAATGAATACTTTATTGTAATTTCAACTATTCAACAGCAAATACAATTATGCGTCTTCAGCGTGGTTACAAAAACCTTTAAACCACAAACTACACATGTCACAGTGGTCAGGGTTTTTTTGTTGTTGTTGTTGCATTGTAACACTTTGTTGTGCTGCACCTAAAGGTCGCCCGTAAACTGGTCATCATTGAGAGTGATCTTGAGCGTACAGAGGAGCGCGCTGAGCTGTCAGAGGGGTAAGACGTTTCCCCTTTATAGACATTAAACCAGCACTTATATCTGCATGTTTCACCACTCTGAGCTTTAAGCACTAACATCAAAAGTAATGGACATGTTTCTGTTTGAACAAAGTGTCCTTTGTTCTTACTGTGTACTGGTTATTTGCATGCTCTCCATGGTTTGAATGGTTCTTGGCTTGCACGTTTGCGCCACACCCACTAACAGACGAGCTCGGCGAACGGAGGAGGAGCTAAGGGTTTTGGAGCAAAGCATGAAATCACTAAACTCCTCAGTCATACAGGTACTGCCAGCTAAAACTTAACATCTGTGATGAGTGTATGTCCCCACTTTGATTCATGCAGAGTGAAGCCTCTGCTTTGCCTGCTGTGCTTCTTCTTTTTTTCTTCTATTACGCTCTTTTATTCAGAGTACTTTAGACTCTTTCACACCTCTAACATGGCAGAAACTGTGCAAAAATAACACTCTAAAAATAAGCATGATATTTACATGTGGAAATACCATTCACTAAATACTTGACTTCACTGTAACCCACTAATCTGAGTGAGATTACAACACTCACACCACCTATAGTCACATTCCTGCTCTGTTAAGGCACTTTGAAGGTACTTGGGGTTCCCTCCTTGTTTAATCCCTGTAGTTCTTATTTATTTGTTTCCTCTCTCCCCCTTTCTTTATTCTCCCCTTCTACCTGTTTTTTGTACACTTCTGGTTCCGTCCACCGTTGTTTCCCTCCTTCTTCTCCTTTGCGACCCCCTCCTTTGTCTAAAACACCAGCAAATGCTCTGAGCTTGAGGAAGAGTTGAAAACTGTGACCAACAACCTGAAGTCACTGGAGGCCCAGGCAGAGAAGGTAAGAGTGATAATGTGGCAGAGTGCATGCTGTCAAACCCTTCAGGTCCACATTAGACTGGATGGAAGGGGAACAGAAGAGCCTGTGGAAACACATTTCTTAATTTTAGCATTAATGTTTTTTACCACATTGTATAAAAGTATTCCAATGTGTAATACTAGGACATCCTGAGTTTGCCTCCGCACCCCTTTGTTTGACTCCGATCATTGTTTTTGTCCCACAGTACTCACAGAAGGAGGACAAGTACGAGGAGGAGATCAAAGTCCTCACCGACAAGCTGAAGGAGGTAAAGTTTCACATGGCTTTAGCTGGGCTTACAGGACCATTTTAAAAAGGTCATAGGTCCAGTGTTGGACTAACTGATAAATCTCTTTCTGTGACACAGGCTGAGACTCGTGCTGAGTTCGCTGAGAGATCAGTAGCCAAGCTTGAGAAGACCATTGATGACCTGGAAGGTATGATTTTTACAGCTCAAACCCTAGAACGCTACTCTGGTTATTTTGAACTAGATGTTGTGCCAATGGTGGCGCTGGTTCTCACTCCTTTTTACAATGTGAAGGTCTTTCTTTGCTCCTTAACTTTATTTCTGTTTCCCTTTTTATATCACCTTTATTTAGTTACTTTAGCATCAAGAAAGTCTAGTTGGTTGGTTTATGAGGTTCAAGAATGGCTTTAATGCTTGTCAGAGATGTCAGGCCCAAATATAGACTTTGTGTTCAAGGAGCGTGGCAGTGAAATATCTACGATTCATTTCTTCATGACTTTGAGGAATTTCCCTCCTTTCTGTTTAACTTCCATTCCATGTTTTTTTTTCCTGATGTAACTCTTGTTTTCCTCTTTTTTTTCCCCCCTGTCAATTTCTGTCACTTCTTCCTGTCATGTCAATGGTCTGGATGCTTCACCCTTCACCTCCTTGCCATGCGCTCCTTTCACCTTTGCCCCATTCCGCTGCGAACCTTCCCCTCTCCCCTGCACCCCCGGCCCACAAATAGATGAGTTGTATTCTCAGAAACTGAAGTACAAGGCCATCAGCGAGGAGCTGGACCACGCCCTCAACGACATGACCTCCATGTAATTCTCTTATTTTGCTGTGCCTGCACATTCTGTCTTCCCCCTGTCCCCCTACTGCATGTCTCTTCCCTTTGCACCGACTGCATATACACAGTTGTTTGTTTCCCTTTTATTTTTCCAAATCCATTATAACTGGAATATCCCAATTTTGCACGAGTCCCTTTAATTAAAGCGGACATTTTACTATGTTTTAATTTATACTTAAACATCAATGTCTTAAACTGACACTGTGGCATTTTGTGTTGATGCAATTGAAGCCCACTTACAATAATGATTTCAAATGCTAAACCTTCATTGATGTATTTGTGATATATAATTGCAGTTTGAGAGAACTTAATTCAATCCTTTTTTGATTAAGTCAGTCTTTGCATTTTTGCAGTTGTCTCATTTGAAAGTAAATGATATTTTGACATCCTAAGCAAAGCATGCACATTTTCCATTGAAATGTAATAGACTATTTAAGGAATGCATCTCAATGAATCTGACTCACACACCGTGTTTGTGATTCCCCTTTTCTTTGCTACTAACACGGTCTACTTGCGTCCAGAAGAAAGGCCGCTGGGTGTTCCCCTTTTGTTGAGTGATTAAAGAGATTGAAGGTTGTCTCTCAGCCCCAAACTTAGCTAAAGAAGTGTCCTCCCCTCCCCCCCCCCTCCCTCAACATTTAGACACCACTCAATGTCTGTATGTTTCAGTGCTGTTTCTTGCATTTGAAGCAGAGCCGTCTATTTTGTCTCCCCTACAATGCATTTCCATATGCATTGTAGTTGTGTGGTACTTGATTTGCTGTGACTCGTGTGGGTCTCCTGTTTTGCCGTGCACACCTCAATATTTCCGTAGGGCCCCACCTCGGTCCCCTGGTTCACTCTACTTTCTCTTTCCCACACAGATAATTTTTTTACACCTCATCAAAGACGTCTTCTGCCGGCTGAGCAACATCTGTCTGCTCTCTTCAGCCCGCTCTCCATTTTCCCTTCCCCTTCTCTCTGCCCTTTCTTCCCTCCCTCCTCATGTTTTCATCCTCATGTCAACATTAAGTGCATCCCATCTCTTGTACAGAATCCTAGAATCTTTCTGCATTGTGTAAAAAAATAAACACCCTTCCTTCTGTGTAAGCTGTATCTCTTTACTCTGTCCTTTTTTTGTTCCCTTTTTCATTTCTATTTATTTTGAATTGGCTCTAATAAAACCAGGAAGCCTTCTGTTTTAAGTTATGTTTTGGATTGTGTTCTTCATCTCCACAAACCAGAAGTTGAGCTTAACCCTGTTTGTTTAATTTCAACCTTGTTTTGTGAAGTTGAGATATTAGGAATATCGCTTTAAGCACAGAAGTTTTAGAACAACTACAGGTACTTGACTGGACGCTGAGCAGAGCTGTCTACTCTGGAGGCGTTTGAGACTGATGCATGCATACAGTTTTTAACATTTAGTACTAGAGACAGGACCAGCTGAAGTGAAGGATTTGAGAATTTGAAGGAATTAGTGTTGGATTGTTATGAGGAAGCTTGAGGAAAAGTAAAGTAATGGATAAAACAGTGGAATACAGAATAGAAAGTACGATTTGTTGAGCCTTATCTGTTTGCTGGAAAAAAATGGAAGAAATTGCTCTGTGATTATGACACATGAGCTTTGTATGATACACCATATCCTGTCCTATATTTAAATAAATGTAAAATCCCACATGCTGAGTGTTTTCATTAAAGTCATCTCAATAAATTCAGACGCAGAAAGACGAGAGAAAGTGAGCAATTGTCTTTTGTAGTGTGGGACTGCAGAACAACATTCAAGCCCTACTCTAAAAAATGTCCAAATGACCAAACTTCAGCCACAAAATTGTCGACTCTCAGTTCAACTTTTTCCAGATCTGTTTTTGATCAGCTGTATTCAAGCATTTAACAAGAGGCACTTCTTGTAGAGAAGGATTTGATCTATGTGGCAGATTCATTTTTTTTCTCTATTTTGTTGTCACACTATCCAATTAATTCTAATTGATTTAAAGGGTTAGGCTCACTGCCATTCTTCTTTTAACCTTATTTCATATCTTCATCATCTGCTCTTACTTTACTCTCTTTTCTGTCATGCTGAATCAGGCAAAAGAAAATCTAACCAGTAGATTGTTAAAAGCCCACTCTCTGAACATTGTTGTGTTAACTGAAGGCTATTCAGCTCTTTTCAGTGTGCTTTATAAAGATTTAAAAAGTCTTCTAAAGCTTTTAGAATAGAAGGTAGGTGTCCACAGGCTTTGCTCTTTCTCCTTTTTTCTACTTTCCTCTGATTTAGTGTCCTCTCTCTGTTTTCCATCTTGCTTTCTGACTGCAAAGATCGCCTCTTCCAGCAACTTGAAAAACACCGTCTCCTCACTAATGAACTGCGCTTGGCTTTGAATGACTGAATTGTGTGAATGTCTGCTATGTTTATTAAGGTTTTGTTTGGAATGTGTGAATGACAATCAGATTAAAAAAAAAAAAAACATGATTCAAAACTCCTCCATTTTCCACTTTGGAAGCCTGCACTGCTTGAAATGTGTGTTACTGTTAATGCAGGTGTGACTATATTATAGTGAAATTCAGGGAATCACAGTTACTGTATCATGTTCTAGTCTTACAGCCTAGACTATAAGGTCATGCAATTATCACACCTTACGGTTTGCTCTGTTTGTGTGTATTATTACGAACTTTGTTGTGACCTGTTTGCACGATTGCTTGCATAACTCAGTGTTAAGTTGTTGAGTCGATGTGTTTTTCTAGTTTTCTGTCAGTGAAATGTGGTGAGTGTTTGAAAGGACTCAAACCTAAAAACTGACCTCTGTTATGTAGCCAGCTCAAATATTAACCCAAGCTAACCGACTGACTCACTTGTGCTCGCTTTGTGTGACATTAAAACTTGTCCATTTTAATGTTCTAACAGAGAAACTGTCACATGCTAAAGAAGAGAACCTCGACATGCACCAGATGCTGGACCAGACTCTAATGGAACTGAATAATTTGTGAAGGCCCAGTCCGACCCCCCACCCCCCCACACACATTGTGGTTTTGGCTTTTTGTACTTGCACCTTGCTTACCATAAACCCCTCTTCTCGTACGTTGCCCGTGGTGGAGATCAAACAGCCAGATGCTATTCCTCTTGCACCGTCCTGCCTTCAGCTAGACTCGAGCAAGGAGCAAAGCTACGAGGAAGCAAATCGTAACCATTCCCTTTGATGAAGCCTAAACTGAGAAACAAGATTGTTTATGTCAGCTTTAATCTTGAAATGTTGTCTGCCTTTTCGCAATTGAGATAGTGTCTTGTTTTCGTTTTTGACGAGTCATCTGGTGAAATGACACGTCATGTCATTGGTTACAAAGATTTTGTACATCTGCATTGACGCTGATCTGGTACGATCCATTCCACATTTATTATGCATAAACCAAAGGACAAAGTGAGGAAATTTTGCACCTAGTTTAACCTCAACATTGCGCACATTTTGCATTCTTTAAGAAAAGCTGTCAAAAGACAAGTGGAAGTATACATGGGCTATATGCCTGATATTCTGTATACTGGTGCTACTGTTTTGTAAGGCTGAAAATGTTAATGCATACCAGTATATTCTTGGCTTTCTTCCAAACCACGGTTCAAAATTTGTTCATCTTGTCTGTTTAGTATTATTTCTGTCATCTGGTTGTGCAATGTTTAAGCATATATGTTGGTAGATGTTTCAAGTGTTTATCATATTTGAAATGTACAAACTATAAAAAATAAAGCACGTTTTGAAAGTTTTTTTTTTTAATTTTGTTTGTGTTTCATACATTGCCTTTACTTCACACAGACTAAAGGTAGGCTATTTATAGATTTTCTGGTAACGATACGATGCAAAACACTTCATTGCTCCCTTGGGGAAATTTGTCTGACTCAGACTGCTGCAAACATTCAGCTGCTGGTTTGATGCAAAGGATATTCAACCTTTTTTATTTTACAATTATCTTTCAAGAACGTTTAAATGTGAGATTTCCAAATCTAGGGGGATGTTTTCATTTGGCAGCTTTGTTGAACACGTCTGACTCTTCACTCTTTTTTTTCCCCCTTTGACCTTCAGTTGGACTTCGAGCTGGGAAAGAAACAAAGTCACATGTTTTGGTTCATGTGGGCTCCCTTTGCACCACTGGACCGTAGTTCAGTTTAAGAACATTCAAACCATGAACACTTTCTTAATGTTCCTTTCATTTATATGCAGTTATTGCTTCCTTAATGTTTAGGAATTGCTGGTGTGCCTGACCCAGTTGCATGCGTATTGTTTTGGTAGATGTTTTAAACTCTAATAATCTTGTGGCTCATGCACGCTCTCTCGTTTAACTCAGTAGTTTATTTGATAGCATGTACGCATATGTGTTTTTGAACAAACAGTATTCTTGACTTGTTGATGACTGCAGCTCAATATTTAACATGATCTCTGGGAAAGTCACATTGCAAACACTTGTGAGGAGATAAGAGGGGCGTTACTGTGCCTGTGTGTGATATGGTCTTTGGAGTAAAACGTGCATGCTTACTATTGATATGTTATGACTTTAAATATAGATTTCACTCTTATTAAGGCCTATATGTTAAAACTTCTTTCAAATTTTAAGTTAAACAAATGACCTCAACTGAATCGACAGAGAGTACCTCTTGTCAATAAGTGTTACTTAAGCACATAAATAGGTCGCTTGGCAAATGAAGCTGTCATTGTTATTTGGTTATGTGCGCTGTAATTTAAAGTAATGTACAGAGGGATGGGCAGTAGAAGATGAATTATACATTTATTGGCCCATGATCTAACAGGCTGATAAAGCCTTTCTCAAAATGGAAAAAAAAAAACAGAGTCTCCCCAACTTAAGCAGCTTTGGATATGATTTGGGAATGGTTTCATGGGCTGTTCCTTGTCCAGTCAATACTTTCATTCACACACAGTGAGGTTCTCACTGACACACCTGTGGCTATGGCTACTTTTATGACAACAAAGTGGTGTCACACAAACTCCAGTCTTTCTTAGAGAACAGAGCTGTTTTCAACAACAACGTGTGATTGCAATCATTTCTGCATTTTTTTTGGGGGGGGGAAGAAATTGACTTGGAAATCTTAGCTAAATATTTAGAAATCAAAGCTCAATATTTAGAGTCTTAGCTAAATATTTAATTTATATTCTATATATTTAGCTTTGATTATAAATATTTCCAATCTCAGCTAAATATATAGGATCAAAGCTAAATATTTAGAATGTAAACTAAATATTTAGAATCAGGACATGCATTTTTAACATTTATATATAACATTTAACATTTAGATATAATATTTAACATTTATATTTGCCAGTGAAATTATCTTACATTTTTACTCACAAAAGTACATTTGACAAAGTTCACAAATATTTCTCTAAATGTGAATAAAAAGTTTTTTTTTTGTGGAGAAATGTTGTTGTTGTTGTTGTTTGTAGTGTGCGCAACTTTACAATCCACACTTTGCCACACGGCAAATGACTTGAGCTTGAGTTCGTGTGATCGTGAATTGATTTATTCTGTCTGGCTCGACGGTGCAAACAGGAAGCGACTGTTGTTTACACCCGAAGCTAACTAACTAGCAGGGACCATAGGGAGAGATACAGACACAGCAGATTTTAGAAAATGTCACGCTTATTTGTGCCAAATCGTTTCTGCGCCACAGGCAGCCTTCTGCTGCGAGTGAACCTGACGCACAAGCAGCCACATTCAGAGACACGCTGTGTTTTTATTCAACAACAGAGACGACATGTCGGAGGGTCAAAGAGAGACTCTTTTAAATACGGGTCAAAATCTAGGATCTGGATATGTGGGGTCGGTGTGGGGATTGCTTTAGCTGTGGGACTGAAGTACCATGCTGACAAAGCCAACAGTTCCTGTGATGATAAAATAGTCCACAGGGCTGATCGATACAGAGAAGCTATAAAAGTCAGCAGAGACCTCTTGGAGCGGATAAAGGTAGGCACAGAGGTAGGCCTGCACATGTTTGGTAGTTCATTTGGCCTCTTTGTCTCTGCTCTTTTCTTTTTCTTTTTCTTTTTTTATCCCTGATCACTTTAAATGTGATCTGAGTCGATTGTGTGTCTATTTCAGGCTGAGGTCGGGGCTCCAGGGCTGGTGGTTGGGGTCTCTGTGGATGGTGTGAAGGTCTGGTGTGAAGGTCGGTGCCTGCAAAGTCCACTTTCTTTCACGTGTATCATTTACAAAAATAGAGAAATCAAGTTAAGCTGTTTTGTCCCCGACACAGGGATGTGTAGGCTACTGGACTAATCCAACAGGTTCAGCACAAATGATGTCTTATTCAGAGTCTGATGTCGACAAAAGCAAACCCATGGTCATCAATGTTGCTCCACATTTGCATTTATCACATTTTGTACAACAATGACACAAACACACACACACACACACACACACACACACACACACACACACACATACAATAATCCATAGCCAAGGATGTGTTCTGTAATATGTTTTGGAACCTAAAAATGGTTAATTTAAAGAAACGATTTTCTAATTCCAAAATATGTTCTACTTTTTTAAATGGTGCTGTATGGTAAATGGACTTGAGCTTATATAGTGCTTTTCTAATCTTCCGACTACTCACAGCGCTTTTACACCGCCTGTCACACCCACACATTCACACACTGATGTTAGTGATCGCTATGGAGTATCATCAGAAGTAACTAATCCCATTCATACACCACTGAAGCAGCGGGAGCAATTCAGGGTTAAGTGTCTTGCCCAAGGACACATCAGACATGTTGGGGATCGAACCCTCCGGTTGACAGGCGACGACTCTACCAACTGAGCCTCATCCGCCCTATATGGCCTGTAATAGTTAGTTTCTTGTTCTATTAATGTTGGCATGTCCCATTATTATCAGTATTGGAAAAACAGTGGCCACTAAGAGACAAAATAAATTGTTTGTACAAACAAATAGCATTTCAGCTTCAGCTTTGTTTGCCTCGAAAACACATGTTGCCCATTTCAGTTGCCATGAAGTAAGCCAGCACAGAGTCAGATGTGAAATTAAGGATCTTCCCTTTTTCCTTGTGTTCTTCATTTTTGTGAAGGTGTATCTTTCATTCCGACAAAAGGAGTCTGAAACATGTTTCTTAAAGAAGAATTTTATAAGATGCATTTAAAATTTTACATGTAATTCAGGGATGGGTTATGCTGATTTGGAGAACCGTGTGCCATGCAGCCCAGAAACAGTGATGCGAATTGCCAGCATCAGTAAGCCCCTCACATCTGCAGCAGCTGCACGACTGCATGAGGAGGGGAAATTGGATCTTGATATCCCTGTCCAGCAATATGTCCCGGAATTTCCCCAGAAACAATTTGATGGACAGGATGTAAGCTTCTTGAACCAGATGACAGAGATTTTTTTTTATCAGCAATAATATCTTCTTTTTTTTGTGTGTGTACAGCTTACATAATTATAAATGATTTTTTTTCTTCTTTCAGGTCACGATAACCCCTCGTATGCTTCTGTCCCACCTAAGTGGTATACGGCATTATGAGAAGGACGCAAAGAAAGTCAAGGAGGACAGGGAGAAAGCAAAGCGACTGTTAAAGCCCCCGGTGAAAGAGAAAGAGGATGAGAAGAGCTCCTCTGAAACCAAAGATAAACCCTCTGCAACGGAACAGAAAGGCAAAGGAGCTGCTCAGACTCAGAAGAAAAAAGAGTTTGAACAGGAAGAGTATTACTTAAAGGACAACTTTGATAGTGTCACCCACGCCCTGGACCTCTTTAAGGATGACCCGCTCATTTTCAGACCTGGTAAAGCACATATTTGTCTTATTAAATGAAATACGATACAAATTAAACGCTGATGCTCTGATGAATAAGATATGAATTTACTATGTGCAGGCACTACTTTTCTGTACTCCACCCATGCCTTCACCCTGCTCAGTGCTGTTGTGGAGCGAGCGGCAGGTCAGCACTTCCTGGATCTAATGATGAGCATGTTTCGGGAGCTGGGAATGCTTAATACTGTGCCTGAAGAAAACGACCCTATTATTTACCACCGCTCTAGGTAATCCATAATCTAACACACTTTGACCCATCACCGCTGAGTACAGAGGAAATACACCAGTTATATCGTAGCAGAGCTTTGCTGTGATTTATTTCTTTAAGGTTGTTTTGTTTGCTCGTCCTTGTTTTTGAGAGCGCACCAGGTTAGACATTTTCGTTTTGACGCTTCTCCGCAGGTTTTATCATCTCAACAAGAGGGGCCGTGTTGTGAACTGCCCGTATGTAGACAACTCTTACAAGTGGGCAGGAGGTGGCTTCCTCTCCACTGCTGGTGACCTGCTGCTGTTTGGTAATGCTCTGCTCTACAGCTACCAGGTGGCCCACCTGAAGGACACACAGGGTTATCTCCCTGGCTTCCTCAAACCCCGAACAGCCATAGACCTGTGGGCGCCGGTTGACCGGACTGAGGCCAGCTGGGATAAGGACGGACTGTACGCCCAAGGCTGGCTGGTAGTGGAGAAAGAACAGAAATATGGTCAGTGCAGGAAGCGCAGACACTATGTGTCGCACACAGGAGGTGCTGTTGGGGCCAGCAGCGTCCTCCTGGTGCTTCCAGATGAGGAGATGAGGGATAGCAAAAGACCGACCCCCCTTCTCCCACAAGGGGTGGTGGTCACCATCATCGCTAACATGCAGGCTGTCGGACTCAACGGCACAGCACTTAAAATCGCGCATGAGTTTGACAAAAGCAGAGGCCTGTAAGAGTAAGTTGTTTACAGACAAACGTGAGTTTACATTTGACTGATTATAGATCATTTCATGTAGTTTTGATACCTTTTTTGTAATGTATTTCCTTTTTTGTAATGTATTTCTCAAATCATGTACCACAACTCTGACACTTAAGTAAGTAAAGTCAAACAGCCACTAGGTGGAGGCAGGTGACTGCATATGTGGCACAAAGAAGGCCACTGACTTCAGTCCTGAGTTTGTTGGCTGACAAAGGTTCCTGCAGTTCTATATTTAATTAAAAGCTTTTACATCTACAATTGACCTGTGAGCATTTCTGCATTAGAGAGAATTAAAAAAAAGTCCTACTCAATAGAGAAGTTATTACTTTTTAAATCAGCTTGGGACAACTAAAATGTATGTCACAAGTAGAGATACTGACATTCCTTTATAGTTACATGATCAAAATCAAAGTCAACTTTGAACATCTTTTATATCGTGCCAATGTTCAAATTTGACTTTCGCAAGTTATAACCATTTTGAATTATCTTTTAACAATTCCAACCTGTAATGCCTAACTCAGTGTGTAACACAGAATTCGTTTGTAACTGGGAACAAGAGTTTAAACGAGCAACAAAACATCAGATATGTAATTATTTTCTCCTGCAGTTGATTTAGAGCCACTATGGGAGATTTATCAGAGTTGAAAAACAAATGAACAAACTGTCGTTAAGACATTCCAACAAGTATTAATTCTCTCCTAAACTTGCAGGATTGACTCATGTCTGATGGCACCATTCCCATTGTTAAACTCCCGGGATCTCCTGTGCCCCTGTTTTCAGATTTAAGGAGACTGATGAATGGCTTGGGATACGCTAATTATACAGCCTCCCACACACTGCGAAATGTGTGTGTTCCTGATAATGGAGCTTTGCGAGAGCCAACGTCTGCTAGAAAACTGCGAGGTCATCCTGAGCAGTCCAGACTGTTTCCAAGAGCAATTATGGTTCAGTCTTAAGATTAGTTTTAGCATTAGGCTAAGTGTAGACATAGTGCTGGTGGTAAGGTTTTTAATGATGGGGAAGGAGCTGCCATCATGATCCTCACAAGTACACAAATGTTAATGTATGTGTGTGTGGTTTCCTGTCAAAAATCACTCAGTCAAATCACTGAATATGGATCATTCCATATATTTACACAATTACAAATATTGACTTAAAGCACATTGAGCAAATTCATCAATTTATACAAGGGTTTCGTTTCTTTAGTCCATAATACCAGTTAAATATTTAGAATAATAATTTTCGTCATAGTTTGACACAGTCCAAACAGCCTTTATAAATACATTCCAGACAAAGCATGTAGATTGAAATGTGACTTAACAAGAGGAACACCAAGGCCAACTCCATTACTGTGTTACAAAAAAAAAGGTTAAGGTGTGATTCAATTCCCACCCACTCGAACACTCGAATTCGTGTGTGTGTGTTAATAATCTACACCTATGTGTAGCAAACACAAGGCAATCTCATGAGACCATTAATGCACTATTATCTCTTTACCTGCTTGGGCTTTAGGTAAGGTTGGTGCAGCAGTTTTCCAAAGACATCGCTAAATCCGACATCCGCAAAGTCTTAACAAGGCAAGCGATACTCAACTCTGAAAATTATTTCATTATCCCGTCCAATCACACAAGCAGTAGAGAAAGGCGTCAGAAGGAAGGTCATACTCTTGGCTTCACTCTCCAATACTGTTGCGGGTTGTTCTGTTGGCTCTGTTGCTTGGCTTTTAACATCCTGTGGGTGAAAACAAGTCATTTTTAGAAGCTTTAAAAGCAGAAAGTCCTGGCTGAAGAAATAATACCAACACTGTACCATATCCTAATGCTATTTTTAGACACCTTGATAATCCCAAAGCCATAATGTACTCACTTGCGTATGTAGTAGATAACAAATGCCATCATCACCAGGATGAGTAGGGCAACAATGACCACAGCTGCAATTAACCCAGCCACCTCTGGGCTGGGAGAAATACTGAAGAGCTGGAACTGCTCACATCTGCTGCCTTTGTAATTTTCATTGCACCTAAAGTAAGACATGCAGTGACAATTTTAGTTTGACTGATTTTCACGCAGAAGAAGTGTGAACCAAATGAAACTTTGAAAACGATCGCTACATAAAAGTAATATGTTCCTGAAGAGTTGTTATTAAAACAAAGACAAACAGGATGTAAGTATGTCATTCACTTACACACAGGAGAGTGTATTCATTGAAAGTATTTTGTAGCACGTCCCTCCATTCATGCAATAGGTCGCTTCCTGTGCCTCACAAAGAGCTCCATGATCTACAAAGACATAAAAAACATTTCAGGAATAAGAACTTGAAGAAATTTTACTCTGTTAAAACTTCAGTCGTGAGTCATCTTTTAGTTTTACAATTACCTGCCATCATTTGTATACTTCTGCTGGGTGTTCCTGGGAACACAAGAAACATGTCTGTCACACTCTCGCAATGTAATCTCTCACTTCCTAGAAACTAATAGCATAACCAAACTACATATCTAAAAGGCTCATGAAATCTGATGAGGTTTAAAGAGCCAATATTTGCGTGTGAGATGAAAATATCATTGACTGACATAAGTAAAAAATAAAATCTGTCCTTACCAGCTCTTAAAATCCCAGCTTTTTGTCGTTAGTGCAGGTTTCCAATGTGAGTCATAGTGACGCTTCAAACTAACCGTGATCTGCTTTTTGTTGGACCTCTGAAGTCATGTGGGCGTGTTGCTCCAAGAAAAATGTTGTGATTGCAGTTTGTCCACATTGTAAATGACAAGCCAAACGTCAGGATACAGGGTCATTTGTTAGTATGTCATAGTATCATTTAAAGGCATGTGAGAAGAACAGACAGGACTATTAAAGGTCATTTAAATGCCTTTTTAGAAGAATTTGACTTTGCAGCTGTCCGTGCCTCTGTCGGACAAAGTAGATTAACGTTTGTTTCTGTAGCTGGAGATTCAGTTGTATCCTGAGATCAGGCAGATGGGTGAGGAAGTCAACTGTTGTGCATGTGAGCTCAGCGTGTCTGGGTTTGCTTAGCAACTCTTGAATGACTGGTATGCAGAGAAGGCATGAATGGAATCGTGGGAACTTTTTTGAAGTCTACGAACACACCACACCACTTCCTTCAGACAAATAATTATGGCCGTATACACAGATCCGTTAGTTGACTCATCTACTGGACATTTCTGTTTTGTGTCTGATCATTTCATAGTGTCACAGGCCTAAGTATGTCAGATGGTCAGTAATCTTCATTCTAGCTGTTAGGAACATTTTACTAATGTTTGAATTTTTTTTTTTTTTTTTTATAATTCCCTAAATGCTTTATACACCAGGGATAAGCAGATTATAAAAACTATTTTTTTGGTTACAATTTACAAGGTTGTAAAAACCCCAACGGTCCATGTTAGCAAAACACCTGTTCTCTATGTAAGATCTGAGCCAAAATAAACATATGACGACTGCAAGGTAGGTCTCAATTTCCGTAAAAAAACTTTTCTTAAGATATTAACATGTTACAGACTTGTAGCAAAATGAGAACCACTCATTAAAGCATAATGGATAACATAGTTTTTTTTTTTAAATGAATTGTTAGAGAACAGGAGGATTAACATTCACATTGTGTCTATTTCTGGATATAACTCCTAAGGCATTGGTATTAAATGTAGAACACTAAAATGAGCCTTAAATTAGTTACATTTATTTAAGCCGCTCTACACCTAGAGCAGGGGTGGGCAACTGGCGGCCCCCATCAACCCTCAATGTGGTCCCTTTGTCAATTTTTACATATCAATTAATTGGAAACATGAAGAAAAACATGACACAATCTGCCATGAAATCATGAAAACCAGGAATATGTCCATGATAATATTTGATCACTGGTACATGTTGAGTTAAATTTGACACATAATTGACTGTAGTCGTTTTTGTATTCTACAATTTGGCCCCTCTGGCAGTGAGAATTAAATGAATGTGGCCCTTGCTGTGACCAAAGTTGCCCATCCCTGACCTAGAGTCTGATATCAGAACTCATGCTCATCTCAATTCAAATCTAGTGACCCCCCTTTTTGTTGGTGTTTCCGGGGGTCGAAGTCCCGCACCACTTATTAAGGGCATAACTAAAACTATCTCATCAAGTCTACTTGAGAATACTAAGATGACGATGCAGGCTGATAAATGGTACACAAAAAAAAAATCATAAATTCAGCACTTCAAAAGCAGTGATCTTTTTCGCGCGGGTGGGTTGTTATCGCGAGGAACTCGAGGTGAAGTGAAGCGAGTGTTTTTCTACGTCGACGCTGTCAGGGTGGCACAGAAAAGGGGGGACTTATCAGAAAATGTTATTATATGTTTGAGATCAGTGTGTCGGGGTTTAATTTTAGTAAATCCTGCCCGGTTCTCCTCCTCGGTGACGGCTCTGCTTGTCACACATGTGACGCCGCTGGATCCCGGGTTTTCAGCACCTGGACAGCTCCCGGTGGTGAACCTCTTCTTCTTCTTCTTCTTCTTCTTCTTAGCGGGCACATGGAGTCCGTGGTGTGATTGTGGGGGAAGCCCTGCGAGCACATCATGCCTCCCTCCGAAATAGACGTGTTTCCCCCCCCCCTGATTCAATGGCAGCGTCGTCGTTTTCGCTGAACGATGCTGCTTCCAGTCCAGAGGAGGTGGTTTATTCTCGCTCTGTTGTACGGGTGCTCGGCCAACGCAAATTCAGGGGGAATCGCAGCCTACACACAGCAAGATCCGAGCTTCCCTCACACTGATCATCATCATTATCATCATCATCATCATCGTCGGCGAGGAGGGAGATATTGCCATCATTTCTACGAGGGCAAAGGAGTCACGACAACACTTTGCACGATGTAGATCTTCGAAAACAAAAGAGGTTAGTGTGTCTTTTAGCTTCTTTTTCGGAGTCGGTGATGCATTTGAGGTTGGTTTAAACAGGAATGAGACTATGTGGCCTCCGAGCACAGAGGGGAAAATGTTAGCAGCACTCCTCATGTAAGCTATACTACTTGAATACTTGAAAATGCATCTTGAAAAAGGTCTAAAGAAGAAAGCTTTGATAGAAATGGCTCACATTGCTTTAATGAAAGATGAAATAGTAGGAAAAGGATGACCTGTGGACGTCCAAAAAACACATAATCTCTCCTTCAGACTTTACTTTATAAGTTCTAACTCAAGACTCTGACTGTGAAATTCGACCTCTGTGATTTATTGAAGTCCAGAGTGTGCTGTAAATTATCTCAAACAAACACAGCTTTGATCCCACTTTGCCTCTTTGGTCACCCCGTCAGATATTCCTTGAAACATTTGTTGTGTTAACTTTATTTTAACCACATTATTTTTGGGCTGTCGAATTGAACCAGTGTCACTCTCAGCACTTCCAATGACCTGGGCCGATTTACCCTGAGTAGCATTTAATCTGCTGTGCTCCACTACATTACTCTGCTGTTGTCTCATGCTGCGGTGAGTGCTGACTCCTCACCTGTCCCTGTCCGGAGGTTTTTCTTTGCTCCTCTTTGTGTCACACAATCCCCCCAATCCATGTGTACAATCATGAAGGTGTGAACAAGAACGTTGAATTATGGTATTCATAAATTTCCAATATTCTAGAGTTATTTTTGCCCCTGCAACTCTTGCAGTGCACTGACTTTGTATTTGTGGCTTTCTGGTCTGCTTATGTCATGTCTGTTCTCTGCAAAGCAGCTGGAGCGGTTCTTTCATTGAATGGACTCGGAACATCAATGGCTCTCTATCCTGTGGCACAAAGAGCTAGCATCCTGCTGCACTTGCTATGCAAGAGGTGTGATGTTCCTCAGCCCCCTGATTCACAGAGCGGAGCGTATATTGGAGGAGATTTAAAATCCATTACAGTTTAGTGCTCCCCAGGAAAATAGTTAAACAGAGCGTAGCTACAGCTGAAGTTAGGACAGAGTGCCTTCAGAAAAAAAGTGAGCGAGCTGATACTTCATTGATAACTCTGGATGCACATTTGTGTTATACTACTCAACTGTGCATATCATTTTGAGATAAAATGTTTAATTTTGACCTTGGAAATAGCAGTTGGCAAAGCAAAGCTCCCCCTCAAGGTATATTAATGCTGCTCTACAGATAAACATAAACTCACAATTGTACTCGGGTGACAGATAGACTTCATGATTTCCTCTTCTGTAATGCTTATTTTATTTTTTATTTTTCATTTTGTTTATAGGAGTGGTAGGAGCCAGGTCCGTGCAGTGGTGAAATCACACTTCACACTTGGGGTCATTTAGTGTGGACGTCCATTTGCAGTAACGAGACATCAACATGAGCAACCACCAGTAAGTATCACACTCTAAAGTTGTTTTTAGATATCTTAAAAGGTCATTTTGTTGTTTTAAAATAGGGCTGTGTTTTAGGTTGTCTTATAGGTACAAAAAAGTTTAGCAATTGCTCAACTTGATTGCTTTAGCCAGCAGCTCGCAAACTGGCCACAATGTCTGCAACTTAATCGCAAAGGCAAATGCGTGCATGTCATGTTTTGGTTAGGCTCATATTTGTTATTCTAAGTGGCTGACAGTAATAAAGACAGGATCCCTACTTAGACCTTTTATTTAAAATAAGATGCTAATTTTGAAACCAGGAAAATCTCTCTTCAAAGCCACCTAAGCCTCTGTTGACAAAAACAATCATCTCAGCCAGAAGAACTCAGAAGTTGCGGCTCTATCGCTGCCTCAGAGAGTTAGTTTGTTTGACTTTTGTGTTTTCAATTTTAGTTGGGATGCACGATAATACAAACACACTGGCCATGTTCTGCCTGAAAAAGAAATACTGTCTTGTGAATGAAGAAAATAATGCAATGTCTATTTCGTTTTTCTATTTCTCCAAAATATGAATCTCAGTAGGGATCCTTTCTGTAATGTTGTTTGGACACAAAAGTGTAAAAATCAAAAACTGTAAGCAGACCCCTGTAAATGGCGGGGCTAAGAGAAGGGAAAGAGAGGGAGCCAGGGGAATGGAGCAGAGTGAGAGGAGGTGGAGTGGAGTAGAGTGGAGTGGAGTGAAGGGTGAATGCAGAATGGGTTCAGTCAGCTGCATCTTCTGATTAAAGGAACAGGATGCTGCTTCCAACCAACAGAAATACCGGTCCGGGCTTCAGACCAGCAAGTCAGTACAGATGATGGCTGATTGTCCATCTGAAGGAGAAACCAGATACTATATAAAATGTAGTACAAATAGGAATACATTAATACTGCTGTGAGGTGACAACTGGAAAACTGTTGTACAAGGAAGGTGGTGGAGTTATTTTCATCCCTGATCATTTAGACCCGATGCTGCTGTAAATCCTGTGTCCCTCTTCCCTCTGTAGCATCCCTGCTAAGGAAACAATGGGCAACATGATGGGAGAATTATTAGATGCCTAAATACAGCAAATTGAAATTGATATAGCTTCCAAGCACTATATTTAACCCAAGTGATACAGAAACATACCAGGTAAACAGACAGTGCCCTTTCTGTTTGCCTGGTGTGCTGTTGTTTGTACATTTCTATTCATCCATTACACACGGGGGAAACGACACACACACACACACACACACACCTGGAGTAGCATAGTGGCTTTAAAACAGGTCAGCTAACATTTACTGGAACTAGTCACATGATCCTGTGCAGAATGCCCCTCTTGGTTTCTCACTATAAATCCCTATCTTCATTTCATTACAGTAAATGTGTCTGATTAGCAGCACACTAACACGTCACTCTGTCCATGTTAAAGCATATTCTGGTAATATTCTCTTCTTTAATGTCAAGAAATCAAAACAAAACCAACAATGAATCATTTCCATTAAGAGATAATGTCTTTGTAGCCAAAACCTTGACTTTAATACGTCTCGGTTCAGCAGCCCTCCATTGTTGTCCAGAAACTATTAAGTGAGTCCCACTGTTACACAGGACGATATGGATCTCTATTAGGAAAAACATGGTACCTATTCTTTGATTCAAGACTACATATATCAGTATGCCATTACTGTTGTATATTAACTTTATCACAAAACTACAATTCCTAGCTGTTTTTTTTTTTTTAGAAATGAATTGGCCGTTTTCTTTCTTTGTATTTGGAACCAATCTTCAGATGGGACTGGGAGGGGAAACGAATTTGGTCTGCTGGTCTTTTCACATTTATTTTTACCACCGAGAAACATAAAAACGAATAATCCAACATACTTATGGTTGGTTATTTGAATGCTTGAGGCTGACACTTGCTGATTGCAGAATCAATCTTAATGTTCCACGTGTCTTCCTCTACTTGTTGAGGTGATGTGAAAAAGAAACTGCAGATTAAAACCTGAGGCAACAACAACAAAGGATACCTCACTCATCATTGCTACAGCAGTATTGTCAACTGCTGTAATTTCCCCTTGGACCATGAAAGAGCAAGCGCTGCCTGAAAGATCTGATCTTACAAATGTACCACTGTGTCAGGAGCTCATGTCAGGATAGCTGCTGCTGTTGGGAAATCTGGCCGGTGCTTGTAGAAGTGATTGGCGCATTGGTCCCTGCTTTTCTGATGATATCAGGGCAGTGAATTGCTGTGCACGAAGGAGCAGCCAAGTGTCCGTGTACAAACTTATTGGGTGAGACAGAGCGGCCGGGTTGTAGACAGCCGGCTGAAAATAAGGTGGCAGTAAGCGCTCAGAATGACAATGATACCGATGCCCTCTATAAACTTCGAGTTCATGCTGAGGCAGCACTTCAAAACCCACTGAAGTGACAGAAGCCGAGTATTTATCACTTAGAAGAGGTGATTTATAATAAGATGTGACAGGCATCAATCTCAGTCCTTATCTGATAGAAAAGCTGCATTAAAGTCTGTTAAGCCGTTGATTTGTTCTTTGTTAGAGGTGCATAGAATTATGATGATCATGAGCTGCTCTTATTTTATTCTAACTTTATGTCATTTTTTTCCTATGCAAAATGAGGACAACTTGAGTTTGTTTAACCAAATGGAAAATATATTAACTAAAAAGTTAATATGTATACAAGTAACAAACAATTATAAGTGTTTTATTATTTCCATTTTCCCCTTAATATTGAGTTATTTGGGTTTTTTTCTTGAGATCTCGATTTTTTTTTCTCATTATTTTGAGATAACAAAGCTGATTTTCCCATCATGACAGATTAACTTAATTATCTCAAAGTAAAAAGATGTCAAGACATCCACCAATAATTGATCATTATTGACCAGAAATCACAGTACAAAACAATGTGTGGATGTCCGCTTACAGCTTCTGTGCAAAAGAACCTTTTTTGGTTGAAACATTTAAATGAAGCCAGATAAAAGCCTCAAACTAGCTTTAGTACTGTCTTGTTTTACTTTAATATGTGTTTCAAACAGGCCCCCTCTTGATTGACAGGTGGAAGGCCCAAGCTGTAGTCCTGAAAGCTAACATTTCCCTCTTGATGTATCTTATGTCAGCATTCAAACCCCCAATGTTCTCTGGTGGAAGTATTCAGTGTAAAAAGATATAAATGAGTTTTGCTTTTTGTTGAGTTCAGCAGTATCAGACTTCAGTGGAACTTGAGTTCATTTCTCACAAAAGGCTGCATAAAACTGAGGCTGGGATAGATTACAAGTGCAATTCATTTAAACTGCAGATCTATGGAATAATATGAAATATTGCCTTGAAGATGTTCCTATTGGAAATTAAAGTTGGAAACAAGGCTTCTAGTGTGTATTTACAAGATATGTGTAACCAGGCTGTTCTTTAGTTTTAGCTTTAAGGAAAATGAGAGGCATCATCATGACTTTTTTTTTTATAATGAAACCTTGTTAACTTGATCACATTTCATTAGGTTATTGATTATAACACCTGTCATGTAATGACAAACAGCTCTTAAATATTGCGGTCAATAAGTTAAGACTGGAAAGGAGAGAGCAGGCTGTATCTATTGATCACTGCGTGGTGATTTATGGTGTTTGGATGTAAAAATGCTGGGGGATTATGCACCCCTGGCAATAATACACAGAACTCATTCAAACAGAAATTGGGTTTCAAAACTACAGCACTGAGATTGTAATGACTAAATAATACAAATTCTTATGAATATGATATATTTTTGACAAATTAATTTACTTTACTAATTTAATTTAATTAGTCTTCCCAGTTAAAAAAAACAGTTTTTTTTATCAAAGCAACAAAATGAACAGTGTTAAGATAAAATGTTAGAGAGCTGAGTTCTAACCAGTTTAATTTTAGTGTTTTGCATCATGATATGAAATAAAATACATGTAACTAGGGTGTAGCATTAGGAAACATGAGCTTCTTCAGAAGCATGGTTTCTGTCCCTTTTGGGCCTGTTGTAAGGCTTCGCTCTTATATGTACTATATATGGGTGTGAGATTTCCCCCCCAGCTGTGTGTGCCCTATGTTAACCTTTTCACTCCCTCTTGGCGTTTGCTAATACCACACGCCTCTGAAAAGACCCCAGCCTCTAGCGTGCTGTTGGCTGTCCTTTGCCTTCATCAAAGTGCTCCCTCCCCAGGATGGCAACCAGCCACTCCACTGGGCTCTGCACATGATGGCTCCTGGCCCGCTCGGTGATTGTCTGGAAATGTGAATTTGATGCACTAAACAGTTTGTGTCTGTCATGACTGATTAGTGTCCTTGCTATGGTTGGTCAGAGGTGCCAAGTCCATATATAACACTGGGTTGCGCATGTGTGTTTTTGTTGCGGCATGCTAATATGTGAGCATTTGACCCATCACCTCTAGCAGGAGTTGCATAACCAAGCACCAGATATTTAAAGGAGGAAGGGCAAAGGCATTTTATGTAGTTAGGACACAAGAATAAGAGATTGTTTTCCATTTGTACCACATTGAGACAATAAAGTGCAAGTGATCATTGTTTGCATGTGCGACTTACAAAATAAGGTTCAAAGGGAGTCCATGAACCAGCTCTGAGCCGAGTAGTAGGCCATGAATAAGAAAGACCTGCCTACATTAACATTTAACAGGAAGGTGGATCTGCTCAGTGATCCTTGTACTAACCGCTTCCTCTCACTTTGTTTCACCTCCAGCACAGAGGATAAAGAATTCACCAACCTAATGGCCTTTGTTCCCCCTTTGTTGTAATCAATGCCTTCCTCCTCTGTTGAGCACTGGAGTTATTGATGCCTCCACACTGGCTGCACTGGGACTCCTGCCAACACGGTGTGAGACTCCTGTTCCAGGGTGACTTCTCCTTGTCCACTATTGGCTGAGCTCATGATCACAGCCCACCCTGCACACTTAAGTTTTAGGGCCTCAATGACAGCGAGATGACACTTTGTGCCTCTGCCAAGAATAGCTAAACTGTCAAAGTGATCAAAATATGGGAAAGAATCAAAGTTGGGAAAAAAAACTTTCTTTTTTTCTTTTTTTTTTTTTTTTTTTTTTAGAAATAGAAAATTGAAACAGTACAGTATTGAGTGTTGGAGCAACCTTGAGTGCACCAGCAGGGATATTTTTATACTGGTAACTGCTGGCAACTGGGCAACAATCGTGTCTTTTACGAAAGAGGGCAAAAAGAGGATTACAAGTTATACAAGGAATCACCGCACATTCATCATTAATGCTTCAGAAAAATCTAGTCTTAAACAGTGTAGAGTATTTGTAATTCATAGTTAAAAATGACATGTTTTCATTTGTGTTGAATGCAAATTCCTGGGGTTTGAAATGACCTTGCCTACATACTCTGCTAATGAGAAATGCAGATCAGCTTGTCATCACTTGCCAGGTAAATGTGTCCTTGTTGATGATGCCAGCAAACACTGGAAACAAGAAATCTCTCACCATATTTGTGTTGACATTCATCAGAATTAAGCATAGTCCCAGTGGTTTTTATCACATCCTGCTACCTTGAGCATTTTCCAAGTGAGTGCAACGGCTAATTCAAATAAACAACACACTTCCATTCAACCTTACACTGCAGGTCTGCCATCTTTGCTGTGATTTTTATTCCACTGAATGGGTGACATCATGCAGATATACGGAATTTCGGTTCTGTATAATGAGCTAAAACCAAATTAAAAAAAACACAGTAGAATGTTTGTAATAAGTTGCTCTGTGTGTGTGTGTGTGTGTGTGTGTGTGTGTGTGTGTGTGTGTGCCACAGGGCTCCTCCCCTGGCCCGAGCCTCAGAGCTGGAGGTGATCTCCCAGCAGGTCGAGGAGGACAACCAGTGCGTAGCCCCTGTCCAGCTGGTCAGCATGGCCTACAGAGACTTGCCTCTGGCCGCGCTGGACATTTCCCTTGCTGGATCTCAGCTCATCTCAAACCCGGATGAAGAGGACAACAGAGACGGGTATGTCACACACACTCACTCTGACTCCACAAGCCAACCTCTGTTGTTGCTGATAGTTTGACTACAGTCAGTAAAACAACCTCCAGTGAAAATGATGTTATTGGTAATAACATGTGATCTGACACAACGACTTGAGCGCCCTAACGCAGACAAAGAGTTGCTGTAAGGTGTACGAAGCTCGTTATTGGGCTTCCAACTTTAATTCTATTCTTTAAAGCATCATATTTAATAAACTAACAAAATAGCAATATAATAAAGCAATGTAATAAATGTATACAATGAAAAAAATTGAAAAAGGACTGATATTCTTAATGTTTGTTGTCACAGTTAAGAAAATATTCGATGTATATGGCTTCCTGGACAGTGTTTAGCTTGTTGTGTGAAGTGCTACATCCATAATTAATGCAACATTAGAATTACACCAATCTAAAGTCTACCTTTGCACAGGACAGATCTGCTGTCGCTCAGGCTTTAGCACATGGCGTTTGAACCTGGCGTATTGAATCATGCTCACATTTTACATCAGAGTGCAGCAGTGGGGGATGTTTGGAGATGAATTTATTAGTGTCACCGTGTTAAATGGACAATGTTTCCATTGATGTGTTCATTTCAGCAATTTCAGGCTTCCGTCCAAACTGTCGATTTCTGGCAGAAAACAAAGCTTGTTGTTAGCACCGTCGCTTTCCTGAAATGACAGCCCTGCGCTGGTGTGCGTTTTTTTTCTCCTTTTCATGGTTTGTATTTTCTTATCACCATACGGTATCGCTGTGCTTCAGGCCCCGGTAATTCTACCAACAGGACACGCCCCTTTTTTAAGCCCCCCTGTAGCCAGAGTCCATGGCTCTGCACTCAGGATGCGTGACTCACAACCCAAATGGCGTGCTGCAATGCTGGCATCTACGTAGAGAAAGTTGACAAACAGCATAAGCTTAATTAAAGCATCCGGCATTCTGCCATCCAAACCCCGGTGTGTCAGCTGACTGTGTCCGGCTGGACTTTGCCTGGCCTGGCCCGGTCCTGGACTGTTGCTCTGTGGGACAGAGGGCAGGGACAGATGGGTCCTGTCCCAAACACCCACTCTCTGATTCTACCTTAGATCTTTCTCACGCTGTCCTGCTCTCAAAAAGGGCAACAAAAAAAAAAAACGCACACATGGCAATAACCGCGGCACAGGGCAGGATCTGGCAGTCCTGAAAAATTATCATCACAGTTTGGGCTCTCTCATGCAGACCTTTACAGCACCCTGGTCCCCCTGGGATCTGGCTATGTGCAATGGAAAAGTCATCAGGGGTCAAACATGTCTCAGGTCAACCATTCAGATATTCCTTGGCTTGGAAGTATGCAGCTTACTAGTGGAAACAGAGTGCAATCTGTCAGCCATGTTAGTGTTACAGTATGCTCACGAGCTTTTTAGATTGGAATTCCTGATTTTCAGGTAAGAGGCATTCCAAGAGGTACCTGTCATCACAGTTTCGTTCACACATTAGTTCTTTGGACACGTTCTTGGAAAAAGCTACAGAGCAAGCTCATAGCTACGGGTTCTGGCTGCTACTGTGACTCATGTGCTTAACATCAGAGGAATGACACAAAGGTGGGATGTGTTGTGTCGAGCAAGAATTTCATTTATAAAGACATTAAAATCCCTGATGGCAAAGCAATAAATTCCCATTTCTACAGCTCTTTCAGATCTATTCTGCGCATTCCTTTACATTCATACTGTGGCTCAGTTATCATGCTTTTGGGTTATCTGTCCATCCATCATGTTCTTGTTGACAAAAAAAAAAATCCCCCACAACTTATGAAAAGAAAATCTTCAAATTCAGCACAAATGTCTACTCGGACTTGAGGATGAAATGATAAGAATTTGGTGGTCAAAGGTCATGTCTACTACAACCGCATCTCGGTTCTATTTTCATGAGATGTCATAAAAAAGATGGAATGAATTTCCTGAAGGGAAGGAGGGCAGAAAAGGACAAGAAAAGAAAGAAAGAGGCTGACGATCACATGTTCTGAAGGAAAAAAAAACAAATACACTCTGTGTGCCTCCAGCAAATGATGCAACCACTCCTGTGTTTTATTGATGTTTCTGTATTCTTTCAAATACTTTCAATATTAATAAAACTCACTTGGCCAAAGTTACAATGTCATTCTTTGGGAGACACTGACACAAACTAGCTCTCTTGTTTATTGGAACAGATGATCAAAGATAATGTAAACCTGCTTTCATTGCCCCGCAGCTGGTGCTGCAGTGGAGCTGTTCTTCAGTTTGGCTGATACGAGGTTTGTTTTCTTTTTTGAGGCTGCTATGGGTTACACTATTGAGATGGTCTATAAAATGTTATGACATTTTGTAAATGTGACTGTATCCTGTGGTAGCAGATGCATGAGCTGGTGCATTTTGATGTCATTCTGATCTATGAAAATGGCTGTCGTTAGTTTTTTATTGGTCTTTGGTCAGTGCTTTGGTTTGCATCTGGAAAAACATCAAGGCCGAAGGCATAGCTCCATAGCAGTGGTCAGAGACTGCATAACAAATAGGCTCATTACTTGAGTATTTTCTCGACTAAATCTTTGATGAGGTCTTTAGTTTAGTTTAGTTTCATTTGGCTGTGAAAAAAGAGCAGAGAATACACACCAGAGATACGCATTTAGCCTCGCATTGCAGCTTCTCGTGGCTCTTTATCAGGAGCCGTGGGCGGCCATGTAGGAGGTGGATGTTCTTGCCGACTACAAGGGGCACACACTGTACTTGCATATTCTGTGCAGTGGTGAGCTGGATAGGAGTATTGATAGATTTTGGCAGCGCCACCTTCTCTAGAACTCGCTGGAAAGTCCAGAGTCAGGGTGGCGTTTTAACAAATTCACATTTAGACACCATATTGTATAAATGTATTAAGTAATCTGTTGATTGTGTTATGATAAAGTTCTTCCCTTTTTGTTGCATCGTGTGGGGTTTTCTGCTGGTATGGTGTGCTGTGTACATGTATGTGTGCATCTCTTAGTTTAATTAGTTTAACATTAAGATTCTTTAAAAATCTATGGTTATGAAATAGAGTATTTGTTTGATCATTTTAAGGCTTTTTAGAGGTTAATTGAATTGGACAAAAGGTTGCTTTGGATGTCTCAAATATTGCTGACAATTCCTTCCTGATGCCGTAATTTCAGAATAGGTCATAGATCATAGCTTATCAATGGGACTTTTTAAATGAGGCACCTCCCTGCCTGGCTCAGGGATGCATATCCTGCACACGTCGAAGTTTATCATCCCTAGATCAGCCTGCTGCCCACAGCAGCAGCACCACATGCTGTTGATCTCTGAGGGCCCGACTGAGAGGTGCGAGGCTCTGCATCGAGGACAGATGGTTCATATGGGTCAACCTGCCACTTTGACTTGATCAGAGAGGAGGTGGAGGAAGGGATAAAGAAATAAATGGACGGATAGATGAAAGAAGCAAGGCGACCGTCCTTTACACTATCATTCACAAAGCTGCAGATCGCAAGGAAATAGCTCCATTTGATGCATGTAATTTCTGTTCATTAAGGATAGTATTAACCCATGTGCCGTTTATCATGGGGACAGCCACTGTTACTAGCTGTGCAGTGTCGGGTGAAATTAAGATATAAGATAAGCTTAAGTCCAGCCTCGATGGATTTCTAGCTCAACATATTGCTCAGTTTATTGCCCCAATGAAAGTTCCAGAGCAGCCCTTCACTCACTGTGATTTATCAGTGTCCCAGTGTGTCAACATGAACACAATCAAAGCTTCAAAAGACAGATTGTTAAAGTAAAATGGAATAAAAAGAAAAATGTTGACTAACAGATATGAAGGTTATAGCTCTGAGGGATCTTGCCAGACTCTAGTATGAATCTTGGCAGCAGCAATATTTCACAGGGCTTTGGAAGCAGAGCCATACTACACCTGTTCTGTGTTGATGGATGTCTGAAAAGAGAGTAAAATCCCCCCCCCCCCCTCCTCCACGCCTGACTCTATTTCAGACACACAGAGGTACATTCCTCTCCATCAAATTGTCTCTCCTGCCTGGCACCATGTGCGACACTATAGAAGACATTTGAGCGCAGGTTTTGAGGTGTGTTAATATTCACAGACATGCAAAGTGTGAGATTGCTTTTTAGGCTGAGAGTGAGAGAGATCAAGTGTCCTGGTGAAAACCCATTTATCAGGGACAGCTTGTCTGCTGCGTCGCACATGGACCCCCATCCATCTCCATTTGCTTCGTATCTGTGGCCCATTTCTCTGGCAGGGACCCGCTCTGAGGAGCCTCAGCTGGGCTGTAAAGCTTTGAAGGATGCAAGGACTGGATATGTAATAGATAGGTAAATGGAAACCAGTGGAAAGGTCTGGTTATACTGGACAGCGTGCATGTGTTTTTATAGAAAGACAGCAAAGAGGGAATCCTGAAGCCTCAACTTTTTTTTATTGGCTTCTGTAAATGATTACCCCTCTTCATTTGATTTGTTTATTCGCTGTAAAAGTGTTTGCCAATTCCCCGGGTGTGAGGCTGTTACAGATTAATAGCGATGAGACTTGAAAAATCTGAAAAGAAAAATTGATTACCTATGATAAGTTCACTTTATTCAGCATATTTATTGCTTAGCTTGTTTTCTACTCTCAGGACATCTGTGCCTCTTTTTGGTGCGATATCACTGATTAATCAGCGGTGGTTACACAGGGAAGGATTTATAGTTATTTAAGTTGGCATTTGTCTAGATTTTCTAACATCTGTAGGCAGATACCCCACCTGTGCTGAATCAAAGGTTTTATATTTAGAGAAAGACGTACATGTAGATACCTGAATTGAATGCCTCTTCCTGGGTATAAAGGAAGTTAAGGAGCAAGTTCAGCATAAAGATTTGCTAACAGTCTGAATGGGATGATGTGATACAACATCTGCCGTTCAGTCGCCTGGGTTCAAAAGATTGGTATGAAAGGTTTAAAGGTTTAAACTGGAAGAACCATGTGGCTTGTTACCAGGGAGGA